TAATGAGGTACTCAGCAACCATCTCTGGGGAGTCAATTTCACAAGCGGGAGCCGTAAGTAAAAATGCCATTTCTAACTGTCGAGCTACAGGTAGGCCTCGCTTAGCGACTGCCTCATTTAGCAACTATTCACAGTTACAACAATGATGAAAAAGTAACCTTACGACTAATCATTAGATCTTTGCAGGTCTGTAAAGCAGAGGAAAGCTGAAGGAAGATCGTAAACACTGTTGTGGTTTCACTTAGCGACCGCTTCACTTAATGACCAAGTGGCCATTCCCAATCGTGGTCACTAAACAAGGACGATTTGTATTGCGTGCCATTAGACAAACCTTGCATCGTGAGCTGGAACCTTCACTGTTGTGCTTCTAGCTCACAAGAAATGTAAAAAACTAGACATTCACACTATAAGCATACAGACTTACTTATATCATCTCTGCAACTATCTTGGGCTGAATGCACAAAAGAAACAGCTGAATGGGATTTTCAAAACCAGCCCAAATCCCTCTGATGTTTTCTAATGAATGCCTGGAGAGCATTACTGTCCCCTTTTTTTCTCTCTGTCCAAGACTGACAGCTCATTCACCCAGGGCTGGAGGATGATGTGATCAATTATTCTGCTGGTCCAAAAGTTCTGCTTGTTCACATCATCCTGGGGATGGGGTAGGGGTGAAACCCAGAACCAACTTTTGCAGTTTCTCTCCTGTCAAGAGAGTTGGCTAAAGTTTATTGTATTTAAGCAACAGAATCTACTGGGAAGGTGGGGTCCCTCTCTTCAAAAAATAAAACCAGGCCTTGAGAGAGGGGCTGGAGGAGAGAAGGAATATCTGTTTGTTTGTTCGTACATCAAGAAGCCATCAGCTCAAGAAGTCTCCCCTGTTTCGGAGGGATTTCCAGCAGGCTGCCAATTTAGCAGCATCTGTGGTTCAAACCCAACACGCGGAATCTGAGGCCCTGGGTTCAACTCCCATAGGACAGAAAGAAAAAATGAGAGATACTGGGAATAATAACATGAGCCCTATTTAATTGCATTTTAATTACATTTGCATTTAAATGAAATTAAATCCCGTTTTCACCCGGCACCACCTGTTTCTTTGTTTTCAGCTGGGTTCCATTTTAGAGAGGGGCTCCTAGACCACAAGTCGAAGCTGTAAATATTGTGGGAATAATATATCAACAACAAAAAAAGACCTCCTCCATGGATAACATCCAAAAGACCCAATGCAATCTTGGATTGCATCAACAAGGGTATAATGTTGAGATCCCAGAAAGCATAATGTTGAGATGTTTGGAGTTTTTATGTACCTTTGAGTCATTGTTGACTCCTGGCAACTGCCTGGACTAGTCCCTGAAGTTTTCTTAGCAAGGTTTTTCAGAAGTGGTTCGCCCATGCTCTTTCCTAGGGCTGAGAGGGACTGGCTCAAGGTCACCCAGCTGGCTTCGTGACCAGGCAGAACTAGAACTCAGAGTCTCCTGGTTTCTAGACTGGTGCCTTCACCAACTGCACCAAACTGGCTCTCATAATGTTGAGATCGTTCCTGTCTATGCTGTGCAGGTTAGATCACACCTGGAATACTGTGCCTAGTTTTGGTCACCACAATACAAGAAGGATGCTGAGGAACTAGAAAGAGTGCAGAGAAGGGCAACAAAGATGGTGAAGGAAACAAAATCCTATGAAAAACAGTTCCAAGAACTGGGCAAATATAGCCTAAAGAAGTGAAGATTAAGGGGAGACATGATAACAGCTCCAATAGAAGCGAATATCTGTAGCTCAGGACTGAACTGTGGAGTCCTTGGGGTTCTCTGAGCTTGGTTGTTTTCTTGCAGACGTTTCATTACCCAACTAGATAACATCATCAGTGTGAAGGAGTGTGGTGTTTGCTGCCTCTTTATATGCAGTAGCTTCTCCTGATAGCGGCATACCAGTGAATGAAGGGATGGCACAGGGAAGAGGGGGTTGTCCAAGCCATGTTCTCCTAAACTGTGGGACCTCTCCAACTCTGGCTGTTGAAAATCAAATGGCCAAAACCATACAGAGGTCTTGCTTCCAGAGCCCAATCCAGCCTCCCCATCTCAGGCAACTGACTTCCTCTTAAATTTTACAGCACATCATCTCAGATGTATTAATTAGTCATCCCCCATGAATTTGTAGATGCACAGCATCAACAGCCACAAAGGACATTGGGATCCTGTCACTATCTTCTCCGCTTTTTACTTTTTTAATTATTTCAGGAGGGGGGTGGCACCTCTACAGATAAGTTCAGGGGGGTTGTACTCATCCAACAATTTCCGCCCATATTCTCTGTGCCAGGAGAAGATCTGGTTTTGTGGGGCATCTCTGGGATGTTGGATTCAGGCTATCAATAGGGGACAATGAACTCTGAGATTTAGGGGTTTGCATGACATGAGACGGGGGGGGGGGGGGGGGGGGGGGGGGGGGGGGGGGGGGGGGGGGGGGGGGGGGGGGGGGGGGGGGGGGGGGGGGGGGGGGGGGGGGGGGAGGAGAGTTAGTTGCCTGGATCAATTTACACTAAACAAGACAAGTCTGTTTGGAGCTAAACAGCCCCCTTGAGATTAGTTGTCAGCCTTACCAGGTAGACCAGACAGGAAACATGATCATTCTACATTATTATAAAGCTACATTAACAGAATCTTGCAAGTCTGACAGTACAAATCTCCCACCATCTCTTTTACAGCCTGATAAGTTAGGGATGTTCCTTTCTGAGTTTCTTTCTCTTGCCACTATGCAACTGTGGGCTATGCTGTCTCTTATCTGACCATTCCAAAGGCAGCATTTCTTCACCCCGTCTCCCAAGGTCTTTCCCGTTTACAAATACATTAGTTGACTGATGTAATGGTATGTGGGAATGACCTTCGGAGACGGGAGGAAGAGCTGCAGACGGAACAACTGTCACGTAAAAGATATCTCAGCCCACAGGAGAGGGGAGGGTGTGGGAAACATTTAGAGAAGAGACCCTCCCTAGTTTTCCGGAGAGCAAAAGGAAAGGAGGGGAGATATACTTTCTGTTAGTGTAACCTAACAATAAAGATAGAGCTAGTACTTCTGGTTGTGCTTCTTGTCTGGACTACTTCGCAGGGCTAACAACTGGTTTCATTAGCCCTGCTTTGCTGTTACACAGTACCTCCCCACCAGTCTTCCAGGTATATAAGCAGTAAGAACAGAGATTAAACCTGTAAACAAAACAACAGGTTTTTACAGTTCACAAAACAAAGACCCCCCCCCCCAACTCTATTGCTGAAACAGGGGGAAAAAAAAGGAATATTCTAGCCACATCTCCCTTTCTCTTGTTACCTCTGCACCTCACAGGTGTCCCCAGGACCAAACACTTCCCCTTACAGGTCTTACAAAAATACATCACTTAATACCTTAATCCCCCCCCCCCCACTTGCCAAAAGGAAAAGTGGGGGATGGTGACAAGAGACAGATCCTTCTGGCTGGAAAATTACTATGGACAATTTCCAGTTTAGTTTACACCCAGCAGACTCTCAATCAATCCCTCGCTCCAGATCAGAGCAAAAATGTAGCTTCAGGTTTGTTTATTTATTAAACATCAACAAAGATCAAAAACAGCTCACTGCAAAAACAGGATAAAAGGCACGCGAGAACAGGGAGAGAGGGAGTCATAAACAACAGGCAAGAAATTGCATTACTTATCTCTGCCTCTAACAATCAGTTGATCATCTATCTATCAGAAACATATAGAACTTTCCAAAGCCACTGGAAACAATATTGTGGATAATAATAATAATAATAATAATAATAATAATAATAATTTTTATTTATAACATTTAGTTTAGTACTAATTTACTAATACTGGTACTAATTTACTTATTTACTGTTACTTGTACTAATAATTTAATACCAATAGTTACAGGCGCCTTAGGTGCAATCCCAAAACATCTGGAGCACCCCTTGAAGACCATCGGCATTGACAAAATCACCATCAGTCCATTGCACAAGGCGGCTTTACTTGGAACAGCTTCTATCCTGCAACAATACCTTTAACACCATCAGACAACTACATCTGCCTGTCCCAGGTCCTTGGGAAGGACTTGATTGGTAGATAAAAATGCCAAATCCAGTCTAAACATCTGGCTGACTGCGAGACCAACCATAATAATTTATTAAATTTATATGCCACCTGACTCCCAGTGACTCTGAGTGGTTGTATCCATTAGCATGGACAATCCATCGAATAGCCTTTGGTTATTCAAGTCCTAAATCTCCAGAATAGAGATGGAAAGTAGGACACCAGGTGATCTTTTCTTTATTCTGCACCATGAAGACATCATTTTGGTGGGTGGGGATGACGTATCCAACCTCTCTCATATGTGGCACCTTATCTGTGCCCCCCTCCCACCTGCCATCCCTAAACTGGCTCACTTGGCACCAATATTAATTACAGCATCTTTGGTGCCAGATAAAATTTTCTTTTTATATTAAGGAAGCTCTTAAAAGTAATTTTAAAAGATTTAAAAGTACAGCTTTTAAATCTTCACCCTGTTTTACTTTGCTGCTGGTTGGAGTGTGGTTTTTACGGGCTGCCTTGTTTTGATTCTTGCGGTCGGTTTTATTAGCTACTATTTTTAATCCCTGGTTTATTGTTTTCGGTTTCATGATTTGACTCCATCTGCATATCGCCCAGAAATATCTGGTTTTTTGAGTGGCCAAAAACATCAGTAAATCAAGAAATGGCCATGGGGAATGTCACTGAGAAAAATCACATGGGTGAAATTTAATTACAGTCATTAAAACTGGCCTACCATTACTACATCAGTCGATGCAGTCACTGGTTCTGGTGGCCTCCCTGCAGTTCAGTTCTATGCATCTTCCGAACACGAAGTCCCACGGAAACAAGTGGGCACAAAATCCCTATTTGGCCATTAGATGCCAGCCTTAAAATCATGAGCAAACTCACCACCACAATGTAGCGTGGTCTGTACTGGATTGTCCCGAACAAGCCCAGGATAACCATGATGATGTGGAGGAAATTGGCCAGAATTGGAGCCCATTGGTATCCCAGAAAATCAAACACTTGTCTCTCTAAAGCAACAAGCTGGAAAAGAAACAGGAGAAAGAGAAGATAAGTAGGACATCCGTAACTTGTGAAAAGTTAAACCGGAACTTATCAGCAATTCTTGTTCCTCTTCCCCGTCGTTCAAACTTCTTCTCTGTCCCCAAATCCCATGTTTCAATCAATCAATCGACATTTATTGACAGCCCAAGACCAGACACAATAAAAAAAAAAACAGCAATACAATACAACAACGGTGAAAAAGGAATTTTTAAAAATTGCGAGAAAATCCTAAAGCATTTAGCAGCTAACAATCAATAGCACGCGGGACGAACCGGACAGCTTCTAACAGCTATAGCTATCGCTAAGAAGCTTGCAACCTTCTTAGAGGTTTGGGGTGCAATGTTCTGCCTTATTCATTAAAATAGAATCCCAAATGAGTAAGACAGAACATTGTCCCCCAAAGTTTATTTATTTTATTTATTTATTTAGTAAACTTGTCCCCGCCCATTTCCCCACAATGGGGGACTCTGGGCAGCTTACATCAAATTAAAATCATAAATACATGAATAAAAGTTATAAAAACCATCACACTTACAGACATAACAAAGATGAAAAGATCCAAGAGGCCAATAGAGGCCACACCAGGCCGCTAAGGGGCCAGCCAACCCCATTTCTGACGTCCTCCCTCCCCGCCCCAGGCCAGATGGCAGAGCCAGGTCTTCAAATCCCTCGAAAGGCCGGGAGGGAGGGGGCCTGTCTCACCCCCGGGGGCAAGATGTTCCAAAGGGCGGGGGCTACAGCAGAGAAGGCCCACCTTCTGGACCCCACTAGTCGGAGTTCTGTTGCCAAGGGGGTCCGGAGCAT